CTAATCAACCAAGGATACCACAAACAGGACAGATCTCCAGCTCAGTCACTTGAGTTGCAATAAATATTTGCTGGATAGGTCAGGTGCAGTGGCTCACACATGTAATCCCGGCACTTTGGGGATTACTGAGACAGGAGGATCTCTTGAGCCCAGGAGGCCAAGGCTGCAGAGAACCATGATCCTGCCACTGCACTCCAGCCTGGGTGACACAGTAAGAGCCCGTCTCTGAAAAAAAATTTGCTGGATAAATTAAGGAAATCCGAGGAACCCTATCTAACACTAGCCACTGCAGCAACAGGTAAACTAGAAAGAGTGTGCATTTGGAATGAGGAAACCCGATGTTAGCCATCATTCTGTAATGTCATGTATTATGTAATGTAGTGTATAATGTATTGTATTATATTATGTAATATATGTATTATGTAGGCAAGTTCCTCGACCTCTTTCACTGGTAAAATAAGAGTAGTAATCTTTGCTCTATCTACAAAAGTGATCAGGTGAGGCAATGTCTGTGACAACATTCTGTAAAATGCAAACCACCACATGAATGTGAAAGTTTATTACTAGGGATTTAGCCAACCACGAAGGAATGTGTGAGCCTAAGAGCTATCATATTGCAAGCCTACAGTTTCTGATTTTGTGCTAGTTGCTTTTCCACATTACCTGATTTTGTCCTCACAACAACCCTGCATAAAAGTAAGTATCTCGCCCAGGTGAGGTGGCTCATGCCTATAATCCCAGCACTTTGGGAGCCTGAAGTGGGCAAATCACTTGAGGTCAGGAGTTTGAAACTAGCCTGGCCAATGTGGTGAAACCCTGTCTCTACTAAAAATACAAAAAAAAAAAAAAAAAAAAAAAAAGGCCAGGCATGGTGGCAGATGCTTGTAATCCCAGCTACTTGGGAAGCTGAGGCAGGAGAATTGCTTGAGCCTGGGAGGTGGAGATTGCAGTGAGCCGAGATTGTGCCACTGTACTCCAGCCTGGGTGACACAGCAAGGCTCCATCTCAAAAAAAAAAAAAAAAAAACAAAAACCAGTAAGTATCTCAGTTTTGAAGATGATGAAATGGAGGCCTAGAGAGATTAAGTAACTTGCCCAAAATGACAGAACTAATGCATAGAAAAGAAGAAATTGGATGTCTTTTGGCTCCAAAGACACCCCACATATGTGTTGAGTACAGTTACTAGAGAAAAGTTATTCCACCCCCACCCCGCCCCCAGAAATCTTCTGACTTGTTTTCTCGCGGTTGAGTAGGACCGTTTATTCGGCAGTGTACCATTCTCAGCTTGCAGTTGAAAGCCCAATACCCATTAAACAGGCAAGGATGCAAACTTGCAAAGCTCATAAATCCAGAGGTGATTTTAAAAAAAATTTTTATTTCTTTGCAAACCATCCAACAAGACATTTTAAATACTCTTACTGAATTTCATGGAACTGACTGCCAGGGTTGGAAGGACATTAAAGCCAGCTCAGTCACACTACTTCACTGGTTGGCCAGACCATGCCTGGCACTTCCGGGAGGGAGCACTCACCACTCCCCAAGGGCACCCATCTCATCCTCCGATGGTTTATTAAAATGCACTCATTCATTTGCTAATTCATTCCACTACATGTATTACCCAATTTGTGACACGGTATGAAGTACCAGAGAGATAATTCTAATATAGTTATGGGTCTCCAGGAGCCAGATATGCTAATCTCCTATCCTCCTGCAGTCTACCGTGGTCCTCACCAGATACTTATTTATAAAAATTCAGTCTGTTTATTATTTTATTACCTTTTTTTTTGAGACAAGAGTCTTGCTTTGTAGCTCAGGCTAGAATGTAATGGTGTGATCTCGGCTCACTGCAACCTCCGCCTCCCAGGTTCAAGCGATTCTCCTGCTTCAGCCTCCTGAGTAGCTAGGACTACAGGTGCCTGCTACCACGGCTAATTTTTGGAGTTTTAGTAGAGATGGGGTTTCACCACGTTGGCCAGGCTGACGTGATCCGCCGGCCTCAGCCTCCCAAAGTGCTGGAATTACAGGCGACCGGCCGGAATTAGTTTTAAGAAATGCATGTCAGTGAGCCCTTGTGCTTTGCTAAGCATGAAATAAAATCCATGGTTTATTAAACTGAAATAAAAAAGGGAAAGGTTTATTCTTTTAATGAAAGCAGAACACACATGAAAGATTGTGTTATAAACTGAAGTTTTGGCCGGGCATGGTGGCTCACGCCTGTAATCCCAGCATTTTGGGAGGCTGAGGTGGGCAGATCACCTGAGGTAAGAAGTTCGAGACCAGCCTGGCCAATATGGTGAAACCACATCTCTACCAAAAATATAAAAAATTAGCCAGGTGTGGTGGTTCGCGACTATAACCCCAGCTACTCAGAAGGCTGAGGCAGAAAAATCACTTGAACCCAGGAGGCAGAGGTTGCAGTGAGCTGAGATCATGCCACTGCACTCCAGCCTGGGCGACAGAGCGAGACTCTGTTTCAAAAAAAAAAAATAAATACAAATAATGTAAAACGAAACAAGCAATCCTGGCAGTAGCTGCTGGAATGAGAGGAGGGAGAGGTCATAGGGCGGTCAGGGAGAATGGAGCATGGAGTTGTGTTGGATTTGGCTAAGCAGCAGGAAGTGCAAGGCATTCCAAGCAAGGGGCAGGGAACAGAAGCAGCACGAGTGCTCGGCAGAAAAGGCTGAAAGGTGGCTAGAGCCACTTCAATTTCATCCTTGAGGCAAATGGGAAACTCCCAAAGGTTTGAGTGGGGAAGCGATGCCTACAATGAAAATTTGAGAGTGAAGTAGAGTGATTGGATTGAGTGTAGGGCCGATTCTGAAGTAACTGCAATGTGCTGAAGATTATCCATTGACTTCTGAGTATTTCCGGGTTATTTTTAAAAATGATTTTATTGCCAAGAAATATAAACACTACTGTTTACAAAGTGTGTTAAGAGTCCCTCTTGCTGTTTTATGCAAAGTTTTAAAAACCTACTCTTGTTACAGTGGTATCACCCGTACGTCTGATTTCAAATAAATGTTCTAGAGACACAGTAAGGGTCCAACAAATGCTTGTCCAACAACACAAGGAAAGCCAGCTTTTAAAGTAAAGTACGAAAACAGGCCGGGTGCAGAGGCTCACACCTGTAATCCCAACACTTTGGGAGGCTGAGGTGAGCAGATCACTTGAGGTCAGGAGTTCAAGAACAGCTTGGCCAACATGGTGAAACCCTGTCTCTACTAAAAATGCAAAAATTAGCCAGGTGTGGTGGTGCACACCAGTAGTCCCAGATATTCAGGAGGCTGAGGCAGGAAAATGACTTGAAATGGGGAGGCAGAGGTTGCAGAACCAAGATCGTGCCACTGCACTCCAGCCTGGAGGACAGAGGAAGATGCCATCTCAAAACAAAACAAAGCAAAATCATACAAAAACATTAGCTGGGTGTGGTGGTGCACACCTGTAATCGCAGCTACTTGGGAAGCTGAGGCAGAATTACTTGAACCCCTGGGGGGAAGTTGCAGTGAGCTGAGATCGTGTGACTGCACCCCAGCCTGGGCGACAGAGGGAGACTCTGTCTCAAAAAATATATATATTAAAAAAAAAGAAGAAAAAGTAAAGTAGGAAAACATATCAGCAGCCTGCCAACAGACTCCTCTAGCCTCGCTGAGGGCCCGTGTTCTGGGAGGCAGATCTGAATTCCAGTCCTAGTTCACCCACTGGCAGGCTGGTGCCCTTGGACAGGTCACTTCTCTGGGGCTCAGTTTCTTCCTCTATAAAATGAGATCAAATCCCATGTTCTACGAGTGCTCTGGAGTCAGACAGATCTGGGTTCTACCACTGCCAGCTCTGTGATCTTGTAGCTTCAGTCTCGTCATCTCTGACATGGAGATAACAGTGACTCTCTCACTGGGTTGTTAGGGTTTAAAGGAGATAATGTATGTGAAATGTTAGCAAACAAGTGTTAGCTACCCTGATTTCCGGTTTCAGAGTTCCGTGGTCCAAGTTTACGCCACAGGCAGCGATGTTGTATGTTGGGCTGTGGTGTGGCAACACTTTAGCATTCACTGCATGCACAGCTTGCAAAAGAGAAGGCCAAAGGAGACCTAAGAAGGCTCTTCAAACACTTGAAAGACTGGCATGTAGGTCGAGCACGGTGGCTCAGGCCTGTGATCCCAGCAGTTTGGGAGGCCGAGACGGGTGGATCACTTCAGTTCGGGAGTTTGATACCAGCCTGACCAACGTGGTGAAACCCCATCTCTACTAAAAAATAAATACAAAAATTAGCTGGGCATGGTGGTGGGTGCCTGTAATCCCAGCTACTCGGGTGGCTGAGGCAGGAGAATTGCTTGAACCTGGGAAGCGGAGGTTGCAGTGAGCTAAGATTGTACCGCTGCACTCCAGCCTGAGAGACAAGAGTGGAACTCCATCTCAAACAAACAAACAAAACAAACAAAAACTGGCAAGCAGAAGAAAAATATTTTTTCTGTACGCTTCTCCAAAGAATTTAACTAGGCCCAGGGGAGGTGCAGTTTAAATTTCTAACAATCTCAACTCCCTGCCAAATGGAATGAGCTACTTCATATGGCAATAGTGAGTCCCCTGTCTTTGGAGGCATTCAAACAAAAGCCAGATGGCCATTTATCAACAACCCATGTAAAACACTATATGAAATAAAACCTACCTATCTAAGATCTCTTCCAATTCAGATTTTATTAAAGAATTTCTAAGGTCTTTGTGATGAGACATTTAGGCTAAGTTTCAAGAAATCAAGTCAAAATCAGTATGTGGGTTCATCTGCGATAAAAATGTTTGTTTTGCTTTTACAGTTTCCTCATTTGGCTGTTGGATTTTAAGAAAAAGCATCCAAGAAAAACAAGGCCTGTTCAAAAACAAGACAACTTCCTTTCACTGTTGCCTGCATTTGTACATGAGAAACGCTCATGACCGCAAAGTCTCCTTATGTACAATGAAACAAGGTCAGAGACAGATTTGATATTAAAAAATAAAAGACTAAAAACTTAGTTTAAGAGTCAATTTAATAAGTTTAAAATAAATGTTTAGTTTCATTAGGATGATGCTATCAATATTTTCTTGGTTACAGACACATTATTAAAGTTTTGGGTTAATTTTATTGACAATTCTTAAGATTCTTTCTCATGCTTAATAAAGTATGCTACCCAGTTAACTCCTGTCTACATGAGCAAAGCAGATAGTACAAAACAGGAAAATTACAAATCACTGATACTTAGTCCTTGTGGGAATCATGCTTTTATCCCAGCAGTTTTACAAGGTGGCTGGCATTCCCTGAGCATATTCTGAATTGCACTGTGGGGAAAGAGGTTGTGCCCAGTTATAGGGTGGGGGGATGCACTGCCTGAGGATTAAAAAACTAGTTCTGTGACCGTGAGGAAGTTACTTAAATTTCCATGGTCCGGGTTCCCTCCTGTGTGAAAGAGAAGGTAGACTTCAACCTCTAAGATCTTCTCCAATTTTCACATTTTATGGACTTTTGTAGAAAAAACATCAGGAGTTCATGTGGGATGACAGCAAGTTATTTCTTTGAGAAGAGTCTTGATCGCCAGGCAATATTCACAGCATAGAGACTGTCAGATGATGATGCTAGCATGGAAAAGAGACCCACACATTTAAATCACCCAGCAAATATTCTGAAGGCTAATTGTAGCACGTTATGAAAGACATTTCAAACTGTGGTTCTGAAGAGCGTATCCCATCTTGCAGAGGTGGGGAGCCTGTGGGGACAAGAGTTCCGAAGAGAAAGAGACAACCAGAGTTCCCAGTAGCTAATGTTTGTCATTCTAGTTGACCGTGCTGGTCTATTAGGCTAGTGGTTCAGTATACAGATGAAATGAAACATGGAACCCGGTTTATTATCAGAACAACTACAAAGAAATTGTCCCCTGTGTAAGACCGGAGTGTCAAATCTCTCTCCTTTTCTCCTCTCTCGTTCAACGGTGGAAGTGGTGTGACTGTGCGTCCCACCAGAACCACATGTCATGGCTGAGTCATATCCTCCTGCCCTTGGAATGGGAGGCACAGCGGAAGAGCTTCCCACAGAAGGGATGTGGAGAGCCTGGTGCCTGGACCATGGTGCTTCTCTCTTCCAACACGTCCACTCACACCTTGGGAGACCCTCAAAAGCCACTCAAACACTACATGTTCACAGAATTTTTGGTAAAAGTAAATACCAATTATAGTGAGGAAGAATTTTGACCATGAAATATTTTAAAAACTAAAAAATGTTTATATTTCATTTAACATTTGACACAGAAGAGACCACATCTGAATAAACACATTAAATCTTCAGAGCACTTTCATTGTGGTTTTGGACCTCAGATATGACAAATACTTATACTGACAAATCCATAATTTCTTTTGTAATTTCTTTTTATTTTTACAAATTATGCCATGATAAAATTTGACAAAAATTATTCATGTGAAAGTTTGCTTTAACGTTTTATAAGTTAATCAAGTGCATACCACAATAGATTTTTGGTTGTTGTTTAAATAGGGTGTTCTCGTGATTTTAGTATTACACAACTTTAAGCTGAGACTACACTCAGAAATAAGTTTAGAAAACGGCATTACAAAAGATTGGGAGTGAACAGTAAAAAAACAAACAAACCCAAAAGCAGGGATGTTGTGCTGTGGGAAATCGGATGTTTTCACTGCCATAAGTCTTCAGTGCGGCCAAACTTAAAAACCAGCCCTCTGTGAATAAAACAAGAAATACCACATGACTCCCTGAATTTGAGAAAAGAATATGTGAGATTTTGAGAATAGTGTGAAACAAGCAACAAAGAATTGATGAGTTGTAGAAGAAAGTTTGGTACGAAACGTATCAAAACAGAAACTGATTCTAAGGTAGTGAATTCTTCCATTATGTTCAACTGTGCTATTAACCACCATATTCCCAACAACCTTAACTTTCGAGTACTGAAGACACATGTGACTTTTAAAAAGTTAACCAGTGTTTACTATGTAACCATTATATGTCTGTTTTTTTTTTTTTTTTTTTTTTTTTTGAGACAGAGTCTTGCTCTGTCACCAGGCTAGAGTACAATGGTGCGATCTCGGCTCACTGCAAGCTCCGTCCCCCAGGTTCACGCCATTCTCCTGCCTCTGCCTCCCAAGTAGCTGGGACTACAGGCGCTCACCACCACGCCCAGCTAATTTTTTTTGTATTTTTAGTAGAGATGGGGTTTCACTGTGTTAGCTAGGATGGTCTCGATCTCCTGACCTTGTGATCCACCCGTCTCAGCCTCCCAAAGTGCTGGGATTACAGGCGTGAGACACCGCGCCCGGCCCTACAGGTCTGATTTTGTCAAATTCATTCAACAAACTGTTTTGGTGCCAGGGCTATAAAATAAGATACAAAGCCATTGCCCTCAAATTGCTCTCATTCTTGCTAACGCAATGTGGTAAGCATGGGGGTGGTTGGGGAAGGAGACTTACATACCAAGTATTAAGGGGGCACAGAAACACAGAATTCAGTTGCCCTGAATAAGTTAGAAAAGGATCTACAGAGGTGGTAATATTTGAGATGGGCTTTTGTGGAAAAACAGGAGTTTGAATGGGAGATTGGTAGGAACAAGACCTAGCAGGATGATGAAGGCAGGTGTTTTGGGGACAGGAAACAGTACATCAAAGGCGAAAGAGGCATAAAAAAGCATGGGGCTTCCAGAAAAGCCCAGGAGACTGGTATGACAGGAATTTGCCCTCACAGAGCTTAAGTCCAGGGCAAGCTTGTCCAACCCACAAAGCACAGGCCATATGTGGCCCAGGACGGCTTTGAATGTGGCCCAACACAAATTCGTAAACGTTCTTAAAACATTATGAGATTTATTTTGTGATTTTTTTTTTTTAAAGCTCATCAGCTATTGTTGGTGTATTCTATGAGTGCCTCAAGACAATTCTTCCAATATGGCCCAGGGAAGTCAAAAAATTGGACACCCCTGGTCTAGGGTTTAGGTGAGGGAATGTCTACAGTTGTCCTCAAGGCTTCAATTTAAGAGGCAAGAGGGCAACTATATGCATAAAATGATACCTGAGGTGTTAACAGAACAAGGAAGAATCTGGCCATGTTTAGGAGATGAGGAGGCAGGGAATGGACACAGTTGGCATTTGGGAAGCCAACTGCCGAGGGCGGCAAATTACCCACAGGTGCCTTAGATGAGCCAGAGTGCAGATGCCTGCCTGCATGCTCTACGGGGCAGCTGGCGCACAGTCCCAGGCACCAAATGAAATGGGAGCTATAAGCCAGACATGGCGGCTCACGCCTGTAATCCCAGCACTTTGGGAAGCCAAGGTGGGTGGATCGCTTGAGCCCAGGAGTTTGATACCAGTCTGGGCAACCATGGCAAAACCCCGTCTCTACAAAAAATACAGAAATTAGTCAGGCATGGTGGCATGTGCCTGTAATCCCAGATCTCTGCTCTTCTAGTTAATATCGGATCTACTGCTGTAACAAAGAAAAACTGAAGTTGGTTATTAGAGGCCTCTACTGTCCAAATAGCTTAAAAGAGACGCTGTAACTTCAGAATACTCGTCACAAGATATGAACTCCAATCTGAAGAGTTTCTTGGGCAAGAGCCAGGGACCAGTCCCTCCTACACTGTCAGATGGTCACCTCTGGTACTGACATCTGTCCACTCTGACTTCTGAAATAATAATTCTATGCTGCTGCTGAGTACCATTCTGTTACGAATCAGAATGGCAGGTGTCCCCTCCAAATCTCATGTTGAAATGTGATCCCCAATGTTGGTGCTAAAGCCAAGTGGGAGGTGTTAGTTATGGCGGCAAATCTTTTTTTTTTTTTTTTTTTGAGATGAAGTTTCACTCTATCACCCAGGCTGGAGTGCAGTGGCTCGATCTTGGCTCACTGCAACCTCCACCTCCAAAGTTCAAGAGATTCTTGCCGGGCGCGGTGGCTCAAGCCTGTAATCCCAGCACTTTGGGAGGCCGAGGCGGGTGGATCACGAGGTCAGGAGATCGAGACCATCCTGGCTAACATGGTGAAACCCCGTCTCTACTAAAAATACAAAAAAAAACTCGCCGGGCGTGGTGGCGGGCGCCTGTAGTCCCAGCTACTCGGAGGCTGAGGCAGGAGAATGGCGGGAACCCGGGAGGCGGAGCTTGCAGTGAGCCGAGATCGCGCCACTGCACTCCAGCCTGGGTGACACAGCGAGACTCCGTCTCAAAAAAAAAAAAAAAAAAAAAAAAAAAAGAGATTCTCCTGCCTCAGCCTCCCAAGTAGCTGGGACTACAGGCACGCACCACCATGCCCAGCTAATTTTTTGTATTTTTAGTAGAGACGGGGTTTCACTATGTTCGCCAGGCTGGTCTTGAACTCCTGACCTCGTGATCCACCTGCCTTGGCCTCCCAAAGTGCTGGGATTACAGGCATGAGCCACCGTGCCTGGCCAAGGGGGCAAATCTTTCATGAATGGCAGGTTAGTGCCATCCCCTTGGTGATGAGTAAATTCTCACTGTTAGTTCCCATGAGAGGTTGTTTACAGGAGGCTGGTACCTCCTCTTCCTCCCTCTCTTGCTTCATGTGATATGCTGGCTCCCACTTTGCCTTCGGCCATGACTGGAAGCTTCCTGAGGCTCTCACCAGAAGCAGATGCTAATGCTTCCTGTTCAGCCTGCAGAACCATGAGCTAAAATAAACCTGTTTTCTTTCTAAATTACCCAGCCTCAGGTACCCCTAAATAGCAATGCAAATGGACTAAAACAACCGGCAATCTGCTACAACCACTCTGCGAACTGTGTCCATTACCTGGAGTTCAATTTGCTTATAGGATACAAGGTATAACCCAAAGAGGCTGTGCATCTTGTCACATCTAAGTTTACATTTTTCTTATTTCCAAACTGATTTTACAAAATAGCAAAAATGGTGATGGAATAGAATAGGTGTGAATACCAACTGGTGGCTCATTCTGAAGAGCAACTATTAGTATTTCAAGAGAGCTTCAGAAGACATGGGAGTTTTGTTTCTTTTTTGGAGGTGGGTGGGAAGGGAAGGGGAAGGAAAAGTCCTGTAACATACATCAGATTCCTAGCCTTTTTTTGGATTAGCCACTTCTTTGATAATCTGATGAAAGCCACAGACTCTTTCCAGAAATATGCAAAACACCAATTTCCTGCATATGGAAATATCTGGTGAGTTCTCACCTTCAGAAGGCTACAGACAGAATAAAGGTTAAGAACTCCTGGCTGGGCGCGGTGGCTCATGCCTGTAATCCCAGCACTTTGGGAGGCTGAGGCAGGTGGATCATGAGGTCAGGAGATCAAGACCATCCTGGCTAACCCGGTGAAACCCCGTCTCTACTAAAAATACAAAAAATTAGCTGGGCAAGGTGGCGGGTGCGTGTAATCCCAGTTACTCGGGAGCTGAGGCCGGAGAATCACTTGAACCCGGCAGGCAGAGGTTGCAGGGAGCCGAGATCACACCACTGCACTCCAGCCTGGGCAACAGAGCGAGACTCCCATCTTTTTTTTTTTTTTTTTTTTTTTTTTTTTAAAAAAGAACTCCTGATGCAGGCCGGGCGCAGTGGCTCACACCTGTAATCCCAGAACTTTGGGAGACCACGGTGGGCAGATCACAAGATCAGGAGATCAAGACCATCTTGGCCAACATGGTGAAACGCTGTCTCTACTGAAAATACAAAAAAAATAGCTAGGCGTGGTGGTGTGTGCCTGTAGTCCCAGCTGCTTGGGAGGCTGAGGCAGGAGAATTGCTTGAACCCAGGAGGCAGAGGTTGCAGTGAGCTGAGATCGTGCCATTGCACTCCAGCCTGGTGAGAGACTGAGACTCCGTCTCGAAAACAAACAAAAAAACAAAAAAACAAAAACCAAAAACCAACAAAGCTCCTGATGCAGAGGATTAAGAGCTGTTGAGCTATTTTGTTTGTAGGGTTTTTCAGCCAGTGACGGGGGTAGGTTATGGGGGCTGGAGGGGGTGGTAGTGGTTGGAGGAACAGTATGGGTAAAGGGCAGGCCCTAAATTTCTAGGAAAGATGAACATCAGAGAAGATTACTGATAAAAGCCTTGAAGTTTTTAGAGGTTTTCATCATCTTTTCATTTGTAATTGAAAAGGAAGGATAAAAAATGGGCTTTTCCTCCACACCTCAAATCTCACAAATTCTATAGTATCAAGGACAGAACTATAAAATATATCAGAAACCAAAATTTAAGGATAAATGGTTTTAGGCAGGCTTTCATTTAAAGCAACTGTTAGAGATCTAAGTTTAAAATGAACATCACCAGTGTTATGTAACTAAATCTTCATGAATCATAGTTACTCACTCATTAAAAGGGGGCGTGGTAGCAATCTTAAAAATTAATATATGCTCCTAAGGTTGGCAGCAAACCAACTCATCTATTTAAAATATCCTTCTCAACCTTACTCTTCATGTTTTATGAAAATAACATGGGGGAGGGGTATTGGATGAGTAATTAAGCAACTAAATATAGTAAATGATATAAAGAAGCTATTTTTTTTTAAAAAAAAAAGGTAAGATAATGCAAAACAAACTTACCCAAAAAAGATGAAGGCATTCTGGAAAAATACAGCAATTCCAGGGTATACTATGTCTTTTTCTGTAAAAAATAATTGCAGTGTTCAGAAGGTTATGATCTCAAAACATTTAGATTCAGATATATTGGCAAATACCAGTTTTCCTGCCTAGAAGAATTGATTTTTCTTGGAATCAGGGTTGGCTTGAGTATTAAAATGACATAATGTGTGACAGAGTCTAGCATGGCTTTAGTAAATGATAGCTCCCTTCGTTCATTTAACAAACATTTACTGGGGGCATACAGTATGCTGGCCCTATTTAATGCTGAGGATACTGCAATAAACAAAACAGGTACAATTTTTTTTGCCCTCATGGAACCAGAGAACATACTGAATAAAAAGAAGATAAAATAATGCAGGAAAGGTACAGAAGTGTAGTGTGACATCGGACACAGGTGGCCAGGAAGACCCCATGAGAAGGTGACACTGGAGCAAGGACACGCAGGAAGTGAGGGCAGAAGCCATGCACATGCCCTGAGGGAGCATGCCAGTGTATTACAGGAACAGCCACATAGGCACAAGAGGGAAGAGCAGGAAAAGGGTAAAGAAAGAGGGCAGCTGGGTGGTGGAGACCTGGCTGTCACAGTGAGGACTCTGATTTTTACTCTGAGTGAGATGAGAAGCCACTGGGTTGTGAGCAGAAAAGTGATCTGAGCTGACATATTTTAAGAGGATCCCTCTGGCTGCTGTGCTGAGGGTAGATTAAAGGAGGCAAGAGAGGAAATAGAAGCCAGTTAGGAGGCTCTTCCAGGAAATCAGGTGAGAAATTATGATGGATTGAACCAGGGTGGTAGCAATGGAGGATGGTAAATGGTGGTTAGACTCAGGATATATTTTACAGCACAGTCAACAGGATCTGCAGATAGACTGGATGTGGGGCATGGGAGGAAGACAAGTGTCATCTTTGACAGGCCTTCACCATCTAGGGCTTTTGGCCTAAACACACGGAAAGATAGAGTAGCCAGCCATTAACTAAGATTGGAAGGACTGCTGGAGCAACATTTTTTTCTGACTGTATCTAGAAATGAAGTTGAAATTCTCATAAATTTCTACCGGAATTGTCAATGACTGCTCACTGACAGAGGCACAATAAATAGGTGAACTGTCAAATTTTTCTCATTTCAGAACAGCTTTGGTTAATCTGATTAACATAACAGATGGTTTGCATAGGTCTTCACCACCATTTCACGTTAAATAACCATTACCACTACAATGGCTTCTAAAAATGTTATAAAGCCAACTTTATAAAATTACAGATCTGCTAATAATTCTCAAAACATAACCTTGCTCCAGAAGTTTTCAAGAAAATAGCCTAAAATTATGAGATAAAGACATTCCGGTTAAAAGGGGCTCTGTATTAATAGTTGTACCTGGGAAAAAGTTATCAGTAATTTCATTTTCTTCTTTTGAGTTATTTTACATTCTTAGTTTTCTATAATGAACAAGTATTATGCAATTCCCATGATTAAAAAGGTAACTTTTTTCCCTTTTTTTTTCTTTGTTTTGTTTTTTGAGAGGGTCTCCCTCTGTTGCCCAGGCTGCAGTGCAGTGGCATGATCGCAGCTCACTGCAACCTCTACCTCCCGGGTTCAAGAGAGTCTCATGCCTCAGCCTTCCAGGTAGCTGGGATTACAAGTGTGTGCCACCACGCCCAGGTAATTTTTGTATTTTTAGTAGAGACAAGGTTTTGTCATGTTGGCCAGACTGGTCTCAAATTCCTGGTCTCAAGTGATCTGCTTGCCTCAGCCTCCCAAAGTGCTGGGATTACAGGCGTGAGCCACAGCACCCAACCACATTTTAAAATATATATATGGCTAGGCGTGGTGGCTTACTCCTGTAATCCCAGCACTTTGGGAGGCCAAAGCAGGTGGATCACCTGAGGTCAGGAGTTCAAGACCAGCCTGGCCAACATGGCAAAACCCTGTCTCTACTAAAAATACAAAAATTAGCTGGGCATGGTGGCGGGCGCCTGTAATCCCAGCTACTTGGGAGGCTGAAGCAGGAGAATCGCTTGAACCTGGGAGGCAGAGGTTGCAGTGAGCTGAGATTGCATCACTGCACTCTAGCCTGGGCAACAAATTTATTTATAGATACATATAAAACAGATTTTATAGCAGCAAAAGAACAACTTATAATATCATGTTAAATGCAACTGGGGGATAAAAACTATAATAACTAAAAACATAAGAAAACAGAACAAAAGGAAATAAACCAAAATATTTAAGAGTGCTGAAATTATTATTACTTATTTTTCTTTTCTTTCTTTTCTTTTTTTCTTTTTTGAGATGGAGTCTTGCTCTGTCGCCCAGGCTGGAATGCAGTGGTGCGATCTTGGCTCACTGCAAGCTCCGCCTCCAGGGTTCACGCCATTCTCCTGCCTCAGCCTCCTGAGTAGCTGGGACTACAGGCGCCCGCCACCATGCCCAGCTAATTTTTTGTATTTTTAGTAGAGACAGGGTTTCACCGTGTTAGCCAGGATGGTCTCAATCTCCTGACCTCGTGATCCACCTGCCTCGGCCTCCCAAAGTGCTGGGATTACAGGCGTGAGCCACTGCGCCCAGCCTTTCTTTTCTCTTTTTTTGAGACAAGGTCTCACTTTGTCACCCAGGCTGGAGTACAGTGGCACGATCATGGCTCACTGCAATCTCCGCCTCCCAGGCTCAGGTGATCCTCTCACTTCAGTCTCCTGAGTAGCTGGGACCACAGGTGCATGCCTCCATACTCGGCTAAATATTTATTATTTGTAGAGATGAGGTCTCCCTATGCTGTCCAAGCTGGTCTCAAAATCCTGGCCTCACACAATACTCCCTCCTTGGCCTCCTGAAGTGCTGGGTATGCACTGCACCCACCCCCTTTTATTTTCTACAATTTTGGGAACATGAATAATAAATTACACAGGACTAGGCCTAGGGGTTCACACCTGTAATCCCAGAACTTTGGAAAGCTGAGACAGGCAGATCACTTGAGCCCGGGAGTTTGAGACCAGCCTGGACAACATGGTGAAGCCCCATCTCTACAAAAAATACAAAAAACTAGCAGGGCTTGGTGGTATGCGCCCATCGTCTCAGCTACTCAGGAGGCTGAGGTGGGGGGATTGCTTGAGCCTGGGAGGTGGAGGTTGCAGTGAGCTGAGATTGTGCCACTGCATTCCAGTCTGGGTGACAGAGCAAGACTCTATCTCAATAAATAAATAAATAAATAAATAAATAAATAATACAAATATTTGGAAATATCTATTACTCCTGTCTATCAGATTAAATAATTTTAATAAAAATTTAGGAAACATTATTTTAATCTAAAAGTTACACTGTATTCAAGTAAGTGTTAAAATATGAACTAAATAGGCCGGGCACGGTGGCTCACACCTGTAATCCCAGCACTTTGGGAGGCCAAGGCAGGCAGATCATGGTCGGGAGATCGAGACCATCCTGGCTAACACAGTGAAACCCCATCTCTACTAAAAATACAAAAAAAAATTAGCCAAGAATTGTGGCGGGCACCTGTAGTCCCAGCGACCCGGGAGGCTGAGGCAGGAGAATGGCACGAACCTGGGAGGCGGAGCTTGCAGTGAGCCAAGATCACACCACTGCACTCCAGCCTGGGTGATAGAGTGAGACTCTGTCTCAAAAAAAAAAAAAAAAAAAAAAAAGAGCTAAATATATATAACCTGGTCCAGTTTTTATAAATCATTAATACTGTATTTTTACTACGACAGCCACAGCAATTTTACCTGAACCATTAAATGGGTTTTCTATTTTCCTATGGCCCCTCAAGGTGAAATTTCTCCCAGGGTCTAACAGTACACCTTTTCCTGAGCTTGCCTTAAACTGGCCTTATATAGCAGAAGTATATTAAATGTTAGTTTACTTTTTTGTCTAAAAGGAGATGACATCATATTACCAGGGAGGCTTAACTGAATAAATCTCAATTCTGCGATGTTACAGCTTTGCACAGATATTCTGAAAGTCAGAACTTGTTAGGCCAAGCTTGAGGCCACGAGTTCAAGGCCAGCCTTAGCAACATAGCAAGATCCCATCTCTACAAAAAATGAAAACATTAGCTGGGTATGGTCGTATGTGCCTGTGGCCCTAGCTACCTGGGAAGCTGAGGTGGGAGGATGGCTTGAGTCCAGGAGGTTGAGGCCGCAGTGGGCCATGATCATGCCACTGTACTCCAGCCTGGGTGACAATAAGACTCTTGTCTCTTCAAAAGAAACATCTGCTAACTAGATAGATAACATATATGTTCTGCTTTTGAGATTTTTGGAAGCCAAAGAGAAGCAGTGTTTAGAGCTGTCTCATCCCTTCTAGGCTCTGGATAAGAAGAAAAAAGACTGAAGAAAGGAACACTAAAAATATACAAGACAAACAAAATCAAACACTGTCGGTGGCGGGGGGGGGGTCCCCAGATATAAATGCATTGCTAGCAGTTGGCCCATCTATAGGAAAAAAAATAACTTTAATGCAAAATTCCAGTATTCCACTGAAGTAAGTTGTATCCTATGTTTTCTCTTACCTTTAGCAACATAACCTCCAAAAAGAATCCACATAGATGCAATCAGAGATCCAAAGGCCAACATGAAACCAATGAATAGCCAAATGCGAGCACCTTGAAAGAAATAATATTTTACCAGAATTGTTTCGCGTAGGGCAGTAAAATTACTTTTCAAAAATAAAACCCAAACAGAAAAAAAACAGTGCAGCTGCCATTAAAGTCTAATGTAAGAACAGTGGAAGATGCACTAAACATCTTCATCAGTGTGGCTGTTGGCCTTTTTCTTCTTGGTTGGCCTGATAGATTTTTAAAAATTATTTATTAGTCTGTGTAAGTGCATATACTTACTTCCCCAACTGCCTACACCGAGAAAACCTATACTCAACCTTCCTGTAAAACATCTCATAAAATCTGTTTCACCATATTTAGAGGCTCATTCTCCATATGCTTTTATATGGAGCATGCTTCCACATTTTTAAAGTCCTCCTCTGCCAGGCACCATGGCTCACACCTGTAATCCCAGCACTTTGGGAGGCCGAGACAGGCGGATCACGAGGTCAGGGGACTGAGACCATCCTGACTAACACGATGAAACCCCATCCCTACTAAAAATATAAAAAATTAGCTGGGTGTTGTGTCGGGCGCCTGTAGTCCCAGCTACTTGGGAGGCTCAGGCAGGAGAATGGCCTGAACCTGGGAGGCGGAGCTTACAGTGAGCCGAGATCCCGCCACTACACCCCAGGCTGGGCAACAGGCGAGACTCTGTCTCAAAAAATAAATAAATAAATAAATAAATAAATAAATAAATAAATAAATAAAGTCCTCCAAGAGTACTTTCAAACAGTAACACAGATATACAGTAAAAAATTCATATTCAGTGATATACGAATCTCAAAGCTACCATATTTCACTTTCAGGGAAGTCAGGCAGCAAAATAAATTCAAATTTACGTGACCAGAACTTAGGAAGATGCATTAAAATTATGTTAACAGAGGAGGACAGCCAACTTTCCAATCACATTAACATGTTTATGAAAATTTGCTATAAATAATAAATGGAGTCATGACTGCCTAAAATGAGTTCTGATAGGGCCTCTTTAATTAACACAAATACATGTTAATAAAAACACTGCCTAAGGCTCAATAAAGCATAGCAAATAGAATGTTATATATTAATTCCCAATTTTAAGCCCAAAACACAAAACGATAGATTCAAAACAAGCTGTTACTCATAGATATATTAAAACAAATAGAAAAGTGGTACTTCCATGTGAAATTCTCATCTTAAGGATTTAAGCATGTATAATAAGATGCTGTTTGCACCTATTTACCTGTTTGACCCAGACAACCTTCACTGTAACTATCACCTCGGACTTGTCCATTTGATACTGCATTAATCCTGTATGAATAAAATAAAACCAAGAAATCAGGGTCCATGACACCAATTACCAGAAACAATAATCAACAGTTTCTCAAATTTAAGGTTAGGCTTCAAAGTCTTTTTTATTTTTTTTAAGATACAGGGTCTCACTCTGTTGCTCAAGCTAGAAAACAGTGGCACGACCATGGCTTACTGTAGCCTTGAACTCCTGGGCTCAAGAGATCCTCCCACTTCACCCTCCTGAGTAGCTGGGATTACAGGTGTGCGCCACCACACCCGGCTAATTTTTAAAAATTTTTTGTAGAGATGAGGTCTCGCTATGTTGCTCAGGCTAGTCTCAAACTCCTGACCTCAACATATCCTCCTTGCCTTGACCTCCCGAAGTGCCACCACACCTGGCTCATAGGCCTTCAGTTCTTGAGTAAAGAGTTCATATGACTGGTCTCTTCAACCAGATACTCTCTAGAGCAGTGGTCACGGGCCCTAGACTAGCAGAATCAGCATTACTTGGCAACCTATTTGACAAGAAAATTCTTTGGCCCTAACCCAAACCTAGCAAAGCAGACACTCTGGGCATGAGGCCCAGAAATCTGAGTTCTAACAAGTCTTTCAGGTGAGTCCGGATTGTTAAAATTTGGGAATGAGGCCAGGCGTGGTGGTTCATGCCTGTAATCCCAGCACTTTGGGAGGCTGAGACAGGCGGATCACCTGAGGTCAGGAGTTCGAGATCAGCCTAACCAACATGGAAAGACCCCATCTCTACTAAAAATACAGAATCAGCTGGGCGTGGTGGCGCATGCCTGTGATCCCAGCTACTCGGGAGGCTGAGGCAGGAGAACTACTTGAACCTGGGAAACAGACTGCGGTGAGCCGAGATCGTGCCATTGCAATTCAGCCTAGGCGACAGGAGCAAAACTCTGTCTCTTAAAAAAAAAAAAAAAAAAAAAAGGAACGAAATTCTCAAAATTTTCTTTTGGTAAGATATGAACAGGTAAAAAGATAAGTTCGCTTGCTTCTGATTTTCCATTTGTATATATCAGACATGACATGTACTCATGTATGGCAATGGCAGAGGGAGAAAATGGACCCTAGATAATCCAAATATTTCTTAAAATTGGCTTTAGAATACATTTTTTGTGCTAATTTTGTACTAACATCAAATGTTTGGAGAAATAACTATATTTCAAACAACACAATAACTTTTTGCTCTGAAAATATTATTGAATAGAGACTCAAGTGTAACATCTTGTTTTTTTAATCCTTGATACAGGCTCTAAACACAAGAAGTGTTTTACCAACTTTTCATAGCGTACCACTCTAAAGTGAGATAGGCTTGCTTTCTTTAGAAGTATCCTTTGAAACATTCCAAATGTCATGGGAAAACGTTCACAATACATCAAGTTAAAGTTACAAAACATTATACCTATGATACATATACCCATTTAGTTGTGTGTGTCTAACACTAGAATATAAGCTTCATGAGGACAGGAGCCATTGTCTGTCTTGTTTCTCATTTTCATTCTCAATGCCTAGCACAAGGCTAGGGGTTTCGCACATAGTAGGTGCTCAATAAATGTGTTTAGGTCAGGCCTGGTAGCTTGCACCAGTAATCCCAGCACTTTGGAAGGCTGAGGTAGGAGGACTGCTTGAGCCCGGGACTTTGAGACCAGCCTGGGCAACATAGTAAGACCTTGTCTCTACGGGAAAAAAAAAAAAAAGTGTTGAATATAAGAATCCTAGTTTTTTTCACAGTAATGTCTTAATGTATTCATACAAAGCTAAGTTTCAGAATGATCAAAATACTCAATTATTTTCAGTGATCTCTATACAGTACTAAATTATTTTGTATATGAAATAGATATATTTAAAAACAGGCTTCATATTTAAAAGTAAAACACAAATAAATGTTCTTGGGTTACTGGTTCCTGGCTCTTGTTTTCCTTGCTGAGCCATCTGAATAAACTTCAGAGCCCTCTGTGAGCCACCACAATCTTGTCTTCACTATTAGGGACACTTTGGAATGAACAATCTCTGTTCTCTGCTATGACTATTTTTATGTATGTTCTCAGATTTACAGAAAAGTTACTAGTTAAATAATCTTTTTTCTGAAGCATCTGGTATTTGTCAACATGATGCTCTGTAACTGGGGGCTGTAAGTGTGCTCCTGGTGTTGGGGTGTAGCTGATCTGGGCACTCTCAGTGGATCATGAGCTCAGGAGATCGAGACCATCCTGGCTAACCTGGTGAAACCCCCTCTCTACTAAAAATACAAAAAAATTAGCTGGGTGTGGTGGTGGGCGCCTGTAGTCCCAGCTACTCGGGAGGCTGAGGCAGGAGAATAGTGTGAACCCGGAAGGCGGAGCTTGCAGGGAGCCGAGATCGCGCCACTGCACTCCAGCCTGGGAGACAGAGTCAGATTCCATCTTAAAAAAAAAAAAAAAAAAATTCTAACAGCATCATTATTACAGTAAAATAAATTGCAACAAAATGGAAAGAACTAGAAATAGCTGCATAATGGCTGAGTTTCAAAGAGAAAGACCACAGCCCTTTGCTATCAGTGGCTTCTGAAGTCAGACCTTTACTTCTGCGAATGAATAACTACTCTGGCAATGACCCCACGCCACGCACAGTCAAACTGGCTGCCCTTAGCCACTTGCTTTATTCTGAAAATACAAGTTACTGTGTTTACACTTAAGTAACTGTAGCATAATTTAAAAATGTGTACAATTTTCAACTTGGATTACCTGGAAGCCTGGAAGAGATGACTCTACAACCTAAATTAAAAGTCTACAGAAGGCTGGGCATGGTGGCTCACGCTTGTAATCCCAGCACTTTGGGAGGCCAAGGCAAATGGATCACCTGAGAGGTCACGAGTTCCAGACCAGCCTGGCCAACATGGCAAAACCCTGTCTCTACCAAAAATACGAAAACTAGCTGGGCACAGTGGTGGGCGTCTGTAATCCCAGTTACTCGGGAGGCTGAGGCAGGAAAATTGCTTGAACTTGGGAGGCAGAGGTTGCAGTAAGCCAAGATCACGCTACTACACTCCAGCCTGGGCAACAGAGTAAGAGTCCATCTCAAAAAAACAAAAAGATCTACAGAAAGCTCATGGACAATGGTAGAGGTCAGGCCAGGGGCTATACAGGTGTGCTGGAAGTGCTGACTGAGAACGTTGTGGGGTGATGTTTTAAATCGTGATCTAGGTGCTGTTTACATGGGTGTATACGTAATTAAAAATTTGTTGAGATGTATATATGACTTGTGCACTTTATGTATCTCAATAAATGCCCTTTTTTTTTTTGAGACAGTCTCACTCTGTCTCCTGGGCTGGAGTCCAGTGCCACGATCTTGGTTCACTGTAATCTCTGCCTCTCAGATTCAAGCGATTCCCCACCTCAGCCTCCCGAGTAGCTGGGACCACAGGCGTGCACCACCATGCCGGCTGATTTTTGTATTTTTTGGTAGAGACAGGGTCTCTCCATGTTGGTTAGGCTGGTCTTGAACTCCTGACCTCAGGTGATCCGCCCATCTTGGCCTCCCAAAGCACTGGGATTACAGGTGTGAGCCACCATGCCTAGCCAGAACGCATTTTATATTACATTTTTTAAATTATTAAGGCAGAGAGGCACAGTGACTCACACCTGTCATCCAGCACTTCAGGAGGCCAAGGCAGGAGAATCGCTTGAGACCAGGAGTTCAAGAACAGTCTGGGCAACATAGTGAGATCCTGTCTTTACAAAAAAAGAAAACTCTTTTTAAAAAATAGCTGAGTGTGGTGGTATGTGCAAGCAGTCCTAGCTACTGGGGAGGCTGAGGCCGGAGGACTGCTTAAGCCCAGGATTTTGAGACGGCAGTGAGTTATGATCATGCCACTGCACTCCAGCCCGGGTGACAAAGTGAGGCCCTACTTCTAAAACATCTTTTTTTTTTTTAAATTTAAAAAGGAAAACCTGATTCTTCTGTAGTTCCTAGGCACGATGATTGGGTGTTCATGTGCATGTATGAGATGTGCCTCCCTCAAACCTTGTTCTTACATCAGTACCTTACCCGTCTAACATGGAAAAAAAAAGAAAGGCCCACAGAGAGAGTTGATCCCTAAAGGACGCATTTATAATTAAGGAAACAAAAAAAGGCCCTTAGAAATTGAAACATGAGAACTGAAATGCAAAAATGTTTAACAGATTGGAAAACAGAATAAAAAGATAGATGAGAATTCTAAGAAAATGTATCAGCCAGGTGTGGTGACTCACACCTGTAATCCCAGCATTTTGGGAGGCCAAGACGGGTGGATCACTTGAGGTCAGGAGTTCAAGACCAGCCTGGCCAACATGGTGAAACCTGTCTCTACAAAAAATACAAAAACCAGTCAGGCATGGTGGCGCATGCCTGTAATCTCAGCTACTTGGGGAGGCTGAGGCTGGAGAATCAACGGAGCCTGGGAGGCAGAGGTTGCCGTGAACAGAGATCATGCCACTGCACTCCAGCCTGGGCGACAGAGCAAAACTCCATCTCAAAAAAATAAATAAATAAACAAACTAAAATAAATACTTTTTTCTTTTAAATTTATTGAGACGGAGTCTCCCTCTGTCGCCCAGGCTGGAGTGCAGTGGTGTGATCTTGGCCTATGGCAACCTCTGCTGCCCAGGTTCAAGTGATTCTTGTGTCTCAGTCTCCCAAGTAGCTGGGACTATGCGACACCGCGCCTGGTTAATTTATTTTTATTTTTTATTTTTTTTTGAAACAAGAGTCTAGTGGCATGATCTCTGCTCACTACAACCTCCACCTCCCGGGTTCAGGCCAGGCGATTCTCCCGCCTCAGCCTCCCGAGTAGCTGGGACCACAGGCACGTGCCACCACGCCTGGCTAATTTTTTGTATTTTTAGTAGAGACAGGGTTTCACTGTGTTAGCCAGGATGGTCTCGTACCCCTGAGCTTGTGATCTGCCTGCCTCGGTCTCCCAAAGTGCTGGGATTACAGGCATGAGCCATTGCACCTGGCCTTTTTAAAATTATTTTTAGTAGAGATGGGATTTCACCAGGTGGGCCAGGCTGGTCTCAAACTCCTGACCTCAGGTGATCTATCCGCCTCGGCCTCCCAAAGTGTTGGGATTACAGGCATGAGCCACCATGCCCAGCCAAAATAAATACTTCTTGTATCCAAAAAAAAAAAAAAAAAAAAAAAAAAAAGATGTGGTAACTGGAAAAAAAGTAGATTTAACCCTGATTAACAGGGGAGGGAAGCCCCATGGTGACAGTGCTGTAGCAGGCTTCCAGAGTAATCAATTCATAACGAAACAGCCTGATATGGGCTTCTGGGATGTCGATTTCTAGAACAAAAGAGGTTATAATAATACATTGAAGAATATAATTGAGAATTTGGGAAAAAAAATAAAGATGTAGTAATACTAGAAAATGCAAGAAAACAAAAGGCAGCTAGAAACTCTAGGAAAAACAAAAAACTGAACAAGGCTACTATAGTCCATATAGTAACTGTCCAAATTAGAACTGCAGCATTCAAGATGAAATGAATCCTAAAGAAAACATACATTCTTTCTACCAACAACCACCTGAAAAAAAACAAAAAACAAAAAAACAAACCAATCAGAAACTCTAGGAAAGGTCGGGCACAGTGGCTCACACCTGTAATCCTAGCACTGTGGGAGGCCAAGGCAGGTGGATTGCTTGAGCCCAGGATTTCAAGACCAGCCTGGCCAACATGGTGAGACCTCGTCTTAATTAAAGAAGAAGAAGAAGAAAAAAAAAAAACTATAGGAAAAAACAATACTAAATAAGAAAGTCATAGCCCAAGTATGAAACAAACTAAACTATATTATGAATTTGAGAAACTGGTAAGAATACAAGAATATTTTCAAAATATATTGATAAACTTGAGAAGCACAGGGTCATGGTATTGAAACTTACACTATTTGGCACTGCAATGAATTTTGTTTACCAGTTTAAAAAATTTTTTCTTTTTTTTTTTTTCTTTTTTTTGAGACAGTCTCGCGCTGTTGCCCAGGCTGGAGTGGAGTGCAGTGGCCGGATCTCAGCTCACTGCTATCTCCGCCTCCCGGGTTTGCGCCATTCTCCTGGCTCAGCCTCCCGAGTCGCAGGGACTACAGGCGCCCGCCACTTCGCCCAGCTATTTTTTGTATTTTTTTTAGTAGAGACGGGGTTTCACTGTGTTAGCCAGGATGGTCTCGATCTCCTGACCTTGTGATCCGCCCGTCTCGGCCTCCCAAAGTGCTGGGATTACAGGCTTGAGCCACCGCGCCCGGCCTCCTATTAAAATCTAAGGTCATTTCATTCCTCTGCTCAAAAACCTTCTAATAGCTTCCATTACACTTACAATGAAAGTAAAGTTCTTGGCCGGGCACGGTGGCTCAAGCCTGTAATCCCAGCACTTTGGGAGGCCGAGGCAGGCTGACCACCTGAGGTGAGGAGTACGAGACCAGCCTGGCTAATGTGGTGAAACCCAGTTTCTACTAAAAATACAAAAAATAAGCCAGGTGTTGTGGCACACGCCTGTAATCCCAGCTACTCAGGAGGCTGAGGCAGGAGAATCGCTGGAATCCAGGAGGCAGAGGTTGCAGTGAGCCGAGACTGCACCATTGCATTCCAGCTTGAGCAACAAGAGCGAAACTCCGTCTTAAAAAGGAAAAAAAAAAGTAAAGTTCTTATTTTTGTGACGGGGCCTTGCTCTGTTACCCAGGCTGAAGTGCAGTGGCACAATCATGACTCACTGTAGCCTCGAATTCCCAGGCTCTGGCAATCCTCCCGCCTCAGCCTCCGGAGCAGGTGGGACCACAGGCATGCCCTACCAATTTTTGTATTTTGGTAGAGATGAGGTTTCACCATGTTGCCCACACTGGTCTCAAATTCCTGAGCTCAAGTGATCCATCCACCTCGGCCTCCCAAAGTGCTGGAATTACAGGCATAAGTCACTGCATCGGGCTGAAAATAAAGTTCTTATAATGCTTTTCAAGGCCCTATGCCATCTGCCCTTCTCCATCACTTCTCTGACCTCATCAATTTGTCTCTTTTGATCTTGCTGCCACAGTTATACTGGTCTCCTTGCCGTAAAGCCTTTGTACTTGCTGTTCCACCTGCCTGGAATGAATCTCTCTTACATATCCCCATCCCCTAGTCAGTTCCTTCATTTTAAGTCTTTACTCAAAGTCACCTTCTTAGTGAGACCTTCTCTGACTCTACTGAAAATTTCTGGCCATGTGTGGTGGCTCACACCTGTAATCCTGGCACTTTGGGAGGTCGAGGTGGGAGGATCACTTGAGCCCAAGAGACCAATCTAAGCAATATGATGAGACATCCTCTCTATAAAAAAATTTTTTTAAAAAATTTCTATCCCTCCTGTTGACATCCCATATCTCCTTTCTCTATTTTTTTCTCCTTTGCACTTATTTTAAATGCCAAAAAGACATGGATTTTTCCTGTTTTATTAACTACTGTATGTCCTGTACCTAGAGCAGAGTCTGGAATATAAAAGCTTAATAAATATTGTTGGAAGAATTATCCCTTAGACAAAATACACAGTTTCTGACTTAAATGTAAAGCTACTAAACCCTGGGGGTATAAAAATAAAAGGATAGCTGAGAGAAGCTGGGAGGGGTACAGAGGTGGACAAGAACAAAGAGGACTGCTGATTTTCTGTGTAAGTCCATCTCTACTGTATGACTTTTAAATCATGTCCAGTATGTTAATCTGGTAATATTTAGAATTTTAAATCTATGCAACTATATTTGAAACATTTTTATTTTGTGGCAATCTATGTAAGTAATGCCAATTATGATGACACTTACATTAGGAAGGCTATGGTTGCTATAACACCACAGGCATGGTATGAGTGGTTGAAATCTTTCATGGTGGGATAAATAACAGCTGCATCTATGATAATCCACCAGCCTGTAAAAAACTAAAACAAAGGTGACACCAATGAGAAATTACAGCAATTCTGTATCTCACTGGCTAAAAGACAGCAAGATATTTAAGTGAAGAGATCCCTTTCAATTAATTTCAAAAATGTTCTAGCTATTTCCCACATGTAATTTGCACATGGCCTAATAGCTGATTAGGTACCCTTAAATCTGACAGCAATTTATATTTATTAACATAACTTTTATCTAAGTCTACTTCAATCATTATTTAATTTTATGATAATAAAGTCTTGTAATCTAATTTGGTAAACTAGAAACCACTTATCTTGTGGAGGGGGAAAGGAAAAAAGTAACTCAAATTCCAACTGACAGAAGCGTCCTGCTGATACATAAGCTTCCAGAGAAATATTCCCCAAAATCAAGAAAAAAGCATTCAAATTAATATGGAGAACAACCATTGTTAACAGAATTTTAGCTATCTTCTTGCTGTGAAATAACAGCTCTGAGGTTCTGCTTTTGATGAATTCCAGTGCAGTCTAAAGGTGGTTTCAGGTGTGATTTTAAATTCAATGTCAACACCAGATTACAATTTATTTGAATCTGGCTCTAGATATTTTCAAGGGCAAAGGTATTACAAAATAACCCCAAAACTTCACAAATAGTTTTTATCATCTGAGCAGAAATTTACAATAAAATTATCTTAACCAAATTCTGACAAGTAGCTTAGAAGATTTTTAAAGTAACCCCCTTTCCTATCCCCACACCAAACCCTGACTCAGTTAGCTCTGGGAACTGACATCTTCTGGCAATTATTTTAAAATAACAATTTTAAGCTAGTCAAATTACTTTTATCAGGTTACAGACAGATCCATACTCGATTGATAACATTTTTAGTGGCTAACACGAGTACATACGCCTTTCTTTCTACCCTCAGATCAATGTATTCAAGATATTTTCTTCATAGACTAAAAACGCAAAGCTTTTTGGCCAGGTGCAATGGCCTGTAATCTCAGGACCTTGGGAGGCCAAGGCCAGTGAATTACTTGAGCCCAGGAGTAGGAGACCAGCCTGGGCAACATGGAGAGACCCCCATCTCTGCAAAAAAACACAAAAATTAGCCCGGTGTGGTGGCCCTTGCCCGTGGTCCAGGCTACTCCAGAGGCTGAGGTGGGAGGATCACCTGAGCCCGGGAGGTCGAGGCTGCAATAAGCAGTGATTGCACCACTGCACTCCAGCCTGGGAGACAGAGTGAGACCCTGTCTTGAAAATAAATAAATATTAAAGCTTAAGAAAAAATGGCTTGGCACAGTGGCTCATGCCTGTAATCCCAACACTTTGGGAGGCCGAGGCAGGTGGATCACCTGAGGTAGGGAGTTCAAGACCAGCTTGACCAACACAGAGAAACCCCGTCTCTACTAAAACAAGCGTGAAACTCTGTCTCAAAAAAAAAAATTTACTCTTTAGCGCCTATGACACCTTATGATCATAAAAAACTAATAGCAGATCCCTTGAGGGATCTGAAGTGTAAATAAAAATTTTATTCTGTAAATTACTTTTACACAATGTATTTTAATGAGTTTCCTTGTTTTTGCTTTTTTTTAAAAAAAATTCATGCTAATCTTCTCTATATCATTCCAATTTTAGTGTATCTGTTTCCAAAGCGAGCACTTTTTTTCCTTAATGAGACTGAGAAGAAAGTTAACTGGATTACGGAGAAATGCAATCATATCTATTGACTGGTTTTGACCTGATTGCTTCTTAAACACTTCCTTGTACCTTAATGTACTCATTAAAAGGAGATAGAATCCATATAATGAACAAATGTTTTCTTATGCCAGTTTTACCATGCAGAATAACCCAACCACTCTGTTAATCAAATTTTAAACCATAAACTCTTAGAGTGGAACTAACGGCTCTCCATAAACAACAAAATATCAACATGGTCAAAGTGGTCAAAGATAAAATAAATAGTACATATTTCAAAACATCCTGCAGATTTCAAAACCCATAAACACAAAACGCACCAAAAAATGAGGTCCAAATTATCAATGACACTTACTAGTACACCAGCAGCAATGGAAGCAATAGTATTGCGCTTTTCCCCCCAGTCAATGCATTCTGAGCATCTCAAGCCCTCTAGAAATCCAGACATTTTTTTCAGGTCACTTAAAAACAAACAAACAAATAATTAAATAAAGTACTTCAATTTACTTGCTTCAAACCTGAAAAATAATTAATAGCTCAGGAATAATTAAAGTGAAATTACAAATGCTTTATTTTGGTTCCACACTTCTTCAGAATATTTGATTTAGTTTTTGATGAATTTCCACGTTATAACTTTGGAAAGTAACATCTGGATTCATTTAGTATCTTTTTTAATGTAAAAAATGGTTTGGGGACCGGGCGTGGTGGCTCATGCCTGTAATCCCAGCAATTTGGGAGGCAGAGGTAGGTGGGTCACCTGACGTCAGGAGTTTGAGACCAGCCTGGCCAACATGGCAAAACCCCATCTCTACTAAAAATACAAAAATTAGCTGGGTGTGGTGGTGCATGTCTGTAATCCCAGCTACTTGGGAGGCTGAGGCAGGAGAATCGCTTGAACTTGGGAGGCGAAGGTTGCAGTGAGCCCAGATCGTGCCACTGCACTCCAGCCTGGGCGACAGAGCAAGACTCTGTCTCAAAAATAATAATAAATAAATAGAAATCAATGATTTGGATATATTTAAGCAACATTAACAAAGGTGGGTCTCCAAATATTGAAAAAATTTTAACTACTGGTTGACCTCCTCCTAAAAATCTGTCACATCCCATTATTTTTAAGTAGGTATTGAATTAGTTTAGGTGGTACTTTTAATATCAAGTATATGATTACCAATCCACAAGAGCTCTTTTGTATCATTTTGATTCCAAACTTATTAGATGACTTTGATATTTACAGTCTAGGAGTACTAACATTAGTAGAGAGACAAGTGATAAACTGTGGCTCTATGTGGAAGTACAGATTCAAATGAAAAATAATTCTCTAATTTACATATTTTATCACAGAACGTGTGTTTCTTCACACCTAAATTAAGAAATTAAACATTGCACTGCAGTTCTTACCTCTACCCACATCATTTCCTTTCACTTCATTCACTTCACTGTTTTTCTTTCTGCAAGCCTGCCTTTTGGTGTCATTTCTATGTAAAGAACATCCACTTGATTTTAATATCCCTATCTCTGATCCTAAAGGGTGTTTCCAGCCAAAAAAAAAGCACAAAATTGTGATATTAATTCAGATTACAAAAATCCAACTGCTATTTAAATATAGCAGACCCAAACTGTCTTTACAAATTACATAAAACACTCCTGTAAGCCGAGCTGTACAGACCTGACTTGAGACACAGCCATGTTATCTCTATTTCAGAGTATGAAAAAACCTGAAATACGTATAACTTGAGAACACCCTAATTCCTACAGCAAACTTGAGTCCCTTAAATTACTCTGCAGCCAGCAATTATAGTTGTCCAAAAATACGACACCTTAAAAAAGAGCAACGTCTCCCATTTTTAACTTCTTTCAAAAATTAAATATTAAAATACATGATTACAGCCAGTGCTAAGATGCCTTTGGGACAAGTTCAATTTAGGAAATTCACTCATTTGATTCTTCCCCGGGAAGAACTGCAATCCAGTGTTACTTTCGGTTCAACCCAACGGCCCCGCCCCGAATCCATTTTTCTTGCACGACGACTGGCACGCTCAAGCCAGACCCCGCCCACCAAACTCTGGGAATTTTAGGTCTCGAGGGACGCGGCTGGAAGATGGGGGAGCCACCTTCAGCCCGGCCGCCCCTCGCTGAGGGAGCCGGACGGGCCACGCTCCTTTCTCGGAGCTTTGGCCTGTCCAGCTGTAAAGTGGGGGACCGGGGGATTTCCAAGAATCCTGGGATGTCCTGGGAGAGGGCGCGGTCCCGTCTCCGTCTTGGCGGGTCTGGACGCGGTCGCCTTCTCCAGGCGCCGCAGGACCCAGGAGAGGAGAGGTCTGCGGGGGCTCAGCCCCGGTCTGCGGCTTCCCGGAGGGCGGCGGCAACGAGCCTGTGCTGTGGGCACCAGCCCGTCAGACGGTCCCGGCTCCGAGGCCTCTCCAGCCTTGAAGCCGCTCCTCTCCTGCCCCCATTCCCCGCCCGACACTTACGTCCAGCCCCGTCGTGCAGTGGTTCCGGAGCCCGGTGTAGCGCCGCGCGCGGCCGCCTCACTCCACCGGTTTCAGCCAAGAAAACAAAACGTCCACGGCCTCCAGACACCCGGATGCAGCAGTACCACCCCCGCGGCTAATCCGCGCATGCGGACACGGGGCGGAGGGCGGGACGCCGGGTCCGGAGGGAGCCACGCCCACCACGCCAACGCGTCTGCGCAGGCCCGGGCGCTCGCTGGCGGGGCTTTCCGCAGCTCTGGGATCACAGCTGGACGTCGGAAGTGCTAGTTTGGAGTACGCCCTTCGAGGGTAGGCTTGAGAAGTTGCTCTGTGTGCTGAGCTTTCTAAAGGAAGGCATCCGTTGGCCTTTGTACCCGTCTTGATTGAGGTGACGAGTGTTTTCTAGTACTGGGGTCGGCCCCCCAGCCGTCTCAGGTGTGGGTGGCAGGAAGAGTGCTGGGTCCCATGTGGTGCAAAAGTTGGGTTCCGGTTTGCAGCCACACAGCGCTACTCAGGACTTTTTAGTCTTGTTTATTTTCTCCGTGCCTGTTCCCGCCCCCTCGCAGTTCCACCTCTGGGAGAGGGGCGGGTTCAGCTCCAGGAGGCGGGGACTTCCCGGCTCGGTGTGGCTGGGGTGTCCCTTGGACCCCAGTGTCGGCGCGGTGACCCACTTATGGGACTTGGCCTTTCTTTGCTGTTTGTTTAAGGCAGGGTTTCTCAGCCTGGGCACTACTGACGTTTTGGGCCGGCTCATTCTGTCTGGGTTGGGAAGGGTAATGTCCCGTGCTGCTTAGAGTGTGTAACTGCATCCCCCGTCTCTACCCGGTGGATGCAAGTAGCAGCCCCAGTGAACCAAAAATGTCCCCAGACTTTGCCAAATATCCTCCCCCTCGGGGAAGATCGCCTCGCTTGAGAACCACTGTTGGAGGAGAGCCTGGGTTTTCGGGAGGTGACCGTTTACAAAGGGGAGGACGGTAAGAAGCCGGAAGCAACGATGTGTTAGCTACGTGAACGACTTGTGGCCGGGCTGGCCCCTCTTCTGGAAGCCGTCAGTTTGGGTCTCGCGTCTGGAATCGCCGTCGAGGAGTCAGATCCAGCCCCAGAGAGGGAGCAGGGTCGAGGTGTCGTTGCAGAAGGCGCCACCGGAGGAAGCACAGGTTCAACGTGCGGTCTCCTTAGCGGAGGCACTCGCGATCCTGCAAACGCCGGTCCGGGAGGTGCTCGGTACCCCTCCGTGGTGCCTGTCCGGTAGCTGGTCACTCTCGGGGGAAGGTCGTGCTACAGAAGGGCATATGCGATCACACAGAGACGGCGTTGCTGCGGCTTTGACCCTATGGTGCACCCGAAAGAACACAGAGGGTGGAGGGAGAGATCCAGGAAGAGGTCCCGGAGCAGAACCTCCTTTCACTTAAGTTAGAAAGGTGGGTCACTTGTTAAGAGCTACGCGCAGGTTCATCTGATTTACATGTACGGCGGCAGTATATGAGTGGGATGGAAACCAAGGTGACTGTTGTTTCCTTTGATGGATGAAACTTATATCCCTTTGGGTTTTTTGTTTGTTTGTTTTCGGTGGGGGGGGCATTAACCGATTAGTAGATAAAACTACATAGTCTAATCTATAGCCTATTTTTAAATGGACACGTTCTTACCACTCAGGAGGTTTATCGTGATTGTTTAATGTCTCAGGATGGAGGAATCTAGTGCAGGCAGTTCTTAATGAAACCTTTTAAATTCCTGTTAATGACTTAACATTAGTTTACCAGCTCTGAGCAGCTTTAAACAAACCTTGATTTCAGCTTTTAATAAGCTAATGACTGCGGGAGAAAAGATATTAACTCTCCTTTCTCTTTGTGTTTTTTGCCCCTACCGTTTTTTATCTTTACTGACCTTAACATGATTGTCAAATATTTATAAACATGAGTGAACATCTTTATATTACTCTCATTAATAAGATAAATGCTTAATTTGTCATTCTTTACGTTTTTGGGACTTAATGAATGTTTGTCTTTTGTAGATAAAATGGAGCTGCTAGAAATAGCAAAAGCCAGCCCAGCTAAATCTTTAGGAATAGCCAACCCTGACTTGCCAGATGGTCTCAGAACTGTTCCTATCGTTAAAGAAACAAACTGTGCAACAGCTGTACTATATGCCACAAAGTTCGAGGTAAGTACTTCAGGTGTATCCAAACAAAACCTTCCAAAAGATCTGGTTAAAATTTTTTATTTGATTTAACTTCTATCCTTCTCAGAAAGGCTAAATATAATTTGCTAAAGTCAAAGTAGCAGATCTGGAAATAGTAAACAGGCTCTCACCCATGAAAATGGGAGGGGAATGAACTTTACTTTTGGTGAGCCTGGAACTGTCCCTGAAAGTCCCACATTCTAGGAAACTCCTGAGTGCAAAAAGTCCTGATTTTCAGCAATGAGTGAGGAAAGTTGGAGATGGGAGGAATACAAAAACTGTATGGTGCCTCCCCACACCCAAAAAGAGACTGAAGACAACCCTTAAGTGAATATGGCTATTGTCTGCCTTCTGTTAACCTCTGAATTGGCAGCCATGACTTGTGGTTCACAATAATGGATCATCCATTGTTGCATCCTCTCAGAGCAATTTTAAGTTCTAAATATGTACAGTGTAAGTCCTAATCTTGCGTGTTAACAGTCTACTTAACTGTGTGCTTTGTATGTAGATAGACAGTAAACTTTGTGAATTGTGACCATGTTTTCTTAGAGTTCAGATAATGAAACTAATGACAAGTACAATACCAACGCCAGTGTGACCTAGACAATACCAAAGCCGTTTAACATAAACGGCTATGTTATTTTAATGACAGATGGAAGGACACATACAGCTGGATTAGGGAGGTAAGTAACCCAAACAGAGCATACTGCACAATATGCAGAAAAGAATTTGCGGTTGGGCATGGTGGAGAAGGGGATGTGAAAAAACATACAGACATTGAATCTAACAAGTCTGGGATGAGACAATCACGTACTTTTGAATCAATTCAAAGTGTTTTTGTTTCCCAAAATGACACCAATGGTCAATCGAAAATAGCAGCTGCTGGTGGGGCACGGTGGCTCTTGCCTGTAATCCCAGCACTTTGGGAGGCTGAGGCAGGCAGATCACCGGAAGCCAGGAGTTCAAGACTAGCCTGGTCAACATGGTGAAACTTGATCTCTACTAAAAATACAAAAATTAGCTGGATGTGGTGGCCCCTGCCTATAATCCCAGCTACTCAGGAGGCTGAGGCACAAGATCAGTTGAACCTGGGAGGCGGAAGTTGCAGTGAGGTAAGATTGCGCCAGTGCTACTGCACACCAGCTTGGGTCACAGAACGAGACTCTGTCTCAAAAAAAAAAGAAAGTAAAAAAGCTGGGCATGGTGACCCATACGTGTTATCCCAGCACTTTGGGTGGCTGAGGCGGGTGGATCACTTGAGGCCAGGAGTTTAAGACTAGCCTGGCCAACCTGGCAAAACCCTGTCTCTATCAAAAATACAAAAATTAGCCAAGCATGGTGGTATACACCTGTAATCCCAGCTACCTACTGGGGAGGCTGAGGCACGAGAATCACTTGAACCCAGGAAGCAGAGGTTGCAGTGAGCCAAGATTGCACCACTGCACTCCAGCCAGAGTGAAACTTTGTCTCAGAAAAAAAAAAAAAGAAAGAGAAAATAGCAGCTGATGAACTAGCGAATTAGCTTGGGTATACCACACAAATGACCATGGGTTATCCTATCCTTCCCTTGATTGCTCTATGAAACTGAGTAAAATTACATTTTCTGATTCAGAGGTTGTAACTAAAATATCCTGTGGGTGAAAAAAAAGGGGAGATTTTGGTAACAGACGTGCTGGCCCTTACAGTGTAGAGCTGATCCTGTCAGATCTCACCAATGATCATGCTTTCTACAGGATGGCAAGTAATGTATTGAATCATGGCAATACAAAAGTGTTCCCCCTAGCTCTTAGGTACTTTGATTTGAAAAGTGGAGTTTCAAGTTGCCTTCTTGATTTCCATGAAAATTTTTATGAAACCTCAGAAAACATAAACAATTATTGATAGCATGTCCAAATACAAACTAGACTTTGCTCACCTATCTGCATATTCAGCAGACGGTGCAAATGTAAATTTTGGCAAGTTCCATTCAGTCTACAAACTTCTCACCACAGAAAAAGAAAAGGTTTTACCTGCTAAACGGCCTGCACAACTGGTATACAAGACTGCTAAAAAAGGCTGTGATTTACTTTCCTGTGATACTGAGGCTTTCACAATCAAAGTTTTGGGTTGCTTTTCAGTTTCCTCAAAACATGCAGAGATACTTCATGAGGTTTTTGACTTTGTTGAAATGAAAATAGAATCCTTCAACATGTGCCTACAAGATGGCTATCATTGTTACTGGCCATAGAGAAGATGTTAAAATGTTGGCCTGCCATCAAGTCTTATTTTCAAAATATGGGAAAAGAAGAGTGTTCTTCTCTAATTTGGAAATACATCAAGGATGAGGATGAAGAAACAAGATTATAGTACAACAGAAATATATATGCCTTTTGTCCAGAACTGCTTGATGATCTTTGAAGAAGTTATAAGGAGCGTAGAAAAGGATACACTAACTGCACCTGAGTTATTTGATATTATGTGTAAGTTGCGGCAAAAGCTCATACAGCAAAAAAAAATGACTCTTTGGAAAGAAGATTGTTTTAGAACTCAAAAAAATGTCATCAGAAAAGGGCAACCAAATTGAACTGGACTTTCTTGATTACTAGAACTTTAACTTTTTTTTTTTTTTTTTTGAGGTGGAGTCTTGCTCTGTCATCCAGGCTGGAGTGCAGTGGCACGATCTCAGCTCACTGCAAGCTTTGCCTCCCCGTTCATGCCATTCTCTTCACCTAAAATTAACCATCACAAAAGTTAAGGAGAAAGAAGACAACTTGTAGGGGAGGCTGCTATACAAGATAGTGTGTGAAGGAAGGGCTCTCTGAAGAAGTAACATCTGAGCAGAGACTTGAATGAAGTGAAGAAGTGAGCCATGTGGGTATGGAGGATACAACTTCCAGGTAGAGAGGACAAGTGTGGTATATATCAGGGTCAGCAAAGAAGCTATGTGACAGAGAAGGGTGGGCCAGGGAGATAGGGATAAGTGATCTAACTCCTGTGGA